AAGTAAGTTTCAAATCTGTATCTTCAGCACTTAAAAACAATTGTCAGCTGCTTTGTTTCTAACTTTCTGTTCGGTTCTAAGGAAGAACATGGCTGATGAAGAGCCTAAATTAAGTTTCTGCAGAACCAAACAAAGCATTGGCATCTTATTCAAATGTTGATTATTGCCTTTGTTTTGTGATATTTACTTCTCATTCAGCATACAGGTATATGGTCCCAACCCAACAGTGAGAACTTCACCCGGTGCTTCGACCATCCAAAGAATCACAAAAGTATGTCTCATATATACAGTTACTATAGTTCTCTCCAAATATGTGCATGGCACAATTTTTGTTTACCATAAGCTATTCAATTCTTTCCTCCTATCAGTTACACTTATTGTTTTCTTGGCAGAGCTAGATGCAAAGACAAATGGCTACATTCTCATCAATGCTAATGGTGGCTTGAATCAGATGAGATTTGGGGTCTGGCTGTTGTGTGTTTTCATTGTTTTTAGAGGCAGAACTTACATAATTGATGCTTTAGGTCTGATGTGTAAATAATTTTAGAATACAGATTTGCGATATGGTTGCTGTTGCTAAGATTATGAAGGCAACACTTGTCCTTCCTTCACTTGATCACACATCCTACTGGGCTGATGAGAGGTTGGTTTCTTTTTCTATCATGTTATTGTGTTATCAATACCGTAACTTTCAGTGCATCAATTACTAAGGTGCTGTAATGGAGTGTTCAATATTGAAACTAGTAGGCTGCATTCACATGCTTTAGGAAGCAAATTTATATTACGTATTAAATCAAATAACAGCATATTCCCTGGTAGACAAATGGTTGAAGAGTTTATATTGTATTGGTGATTGAAAACAATGAAGTTCTATTGATGTGCTTATTGCTTACTGGTGTGATTTGTAACTTTGCAGCGGCTTTAAAGATCTCTTTGACTGGCGACATTTCATCGAGACACTGAAGGATGATATCCACATAGTTGAGGAATTACCCCCTACCTATTCTGACATTGAACCTTTTAACAAAACTCCAATTTCTTGGTCTAAGGTTGGAATCAACTCTGCAGTTTTCTGTTTACTACATCCCATGGATATATAGTTCCAGCCACTGCACAGGTGCCTTGTATGAGATTAGTAACAACTAACTGGCTTTTATCTTGGATTCAGGATAGCTATTATAAGAAAGAGGTTTTGCCACTATTGAAGCAGCATAGAGTAATCTATTTTACTCATACTGATTCAAGGCTTGCCAACAATGGTCTCCCAAGTTCCATTCAAAAGCTGAGGTGCCGTGTAAATTATGTGGGACTAAAATATTCAGCTCCAATTCAACAACTTGGAAACACCTTGATTTCTAGGATGCGTGAGAATGGGGGCCTGTATCTTGCTCTCCATTTGAGGCAAGTGGTTCTCTTGTATTATCAAATTTTCTCTGCCTCTTCTTTTCTATGTTTGTATATTTGGCATGAGTTAGCATTTGTAGTATTAAAATAGGTACATGTTAACCTCCATTTATTAGATTCTTAGGAGCTAGATCCAAATGCTTTTCCATTAGGTTAATAACATGAATGAGATCCTAATATCTAAAGTTCTGACCTTCAGTTAGGAATAAAGGTTTAGATCAACTTCTAATCTGATTATTTGGAGAATCAAAACCGTTATTGGGAAACCTGCTAGGACAGTTTTGTTAACATCTTTGACCATGTTCATTTCATCTTTAGATATAAACAAAGTAACCTCAATTTGCTCTTAGTTGGCTAAATGAAAAATGAAAATTCTAATTTAACATTCATGTCACGTTTGGTTGGTGGTAATGGGATCAAACTATAAAAAAAGCTAAATTTAAGGAACTTCCTTAGGAAGCTAGTAATAGTTAAAGCCTTAATGTTATAATTTTCTCCTAAACTAAGTGATGAATGAGGAATATGTATTCCCTCCAATGTAAAAGGAAAATTATACAGTTAAGGCTTACCTATTCCTAGTTACCTATGGTAGTCTCTCAATTTGAGTTTATTTTTATGGTTTGACCAAGGGATAACCATTACCACCAATCAAACAAGCCCTCAGGGTTTATAAGTTATGGTCTCAACAATGTTCTCATGATTAATTATGCTATTGAGATTACTGTAGAACCTGGGGGCTGATAACCCTTTTGCCTCCTTTAATCATAGGTACGAAAAGGATATGCTTGCATTTACTGGATGCAGTCATAATTTGACAGCAGAAGAAGATAACGAACTGCGTAGGATGCGTTATGAAGTTGGCCATTGGAAGGAGAAAGAGATTAATGGTACAGAGAGAAGATTGCTGGGAGGTTGCCCATTGACCCCCAGGGAAACTTCACTTCTACTTACAGCACTGGGCTTCCCATCAAGCACCCGAATCTACTTGGTAGCTGGTGAAGCTTATGGAAATGGAAGTATGCAATATCTCATGGATGACTTTCCTAACATATTCTCACATTCCTCCCTCACCGCAGAGGAGGAATTGGGGCCCTTCAAGAATCACCAGAACATGTTGGCTGGTTTGGACTATGTTGTTGCCCTACAAAGTGATGCATTTGTTTATACTTACGATGGAAATATGGCAAAGGCAATTCAAGGACATAGGAGATTTAAGAACTTCAACAAGACTATCAATCCGGACAAGTAATATTTCTAACTTTTTGCTTCAAACTTTAACATCTCTGATTTGGTTGTTTCATATTTTTTTTCGGGTACAAAACCAGTCTGGTCATAGGCAGGTTATCAAGTTGTTTCATTGTTAGATGCATGCACCCAAAATTCCCATAGCATACTGTACTGAAAAAAAAAAAAAAAGTTTCCCTTGGCATATGATAAGCGTCAATTCCAGACAAAGACATAACAAATGATTTTTAATTTGCTGATGCAGGATGAATTATGTAAAACTTGTGGATGAATTAGATGAGGGGAAAATTTCTTGGAAGAAATTCAGCTCCAAAGTGAAAAAGCTTCACAAAGATAGAGTTGGGGTACCATACTATAGAGAACCTGGAGAGTTTCCAAAACTGGAGGAGAGTTTCTTTGCTAATCCTCTTCCTGGATGTATTTGTGAAAGAACAGAAGAAAGATAGAGCTTCACAAGTTACAATTCAGGATTTGTAAATTTTAAGCCCATTTAATGAGTCAAAGTTCATCCAGAAAGAAGGATGTGCTGCCACTCTTTCGAACATACCATCCTTCAAGGAGACAATCTTACACTCTCCAACTTGGACTAAATCCAACAAATTTGTTACAAGAAGCCTGCTCAGTGGGAGAAAATCTATTAGTTCGCATGCAACCAAGTGCACTGGGGCTCCTGCAGATATACTTCTGGTATACTGTTCTCAAAAGATAGAGGTGATATTCATTCAAGTACTGAATTTGATCGGTTTTCTTTTTCCCCTTAATTGGTTTGGGTTCTGGAGGCAAAAAAAAGAGGTGGGGATTGAATAATTTGCAAGGGATATCACAATGGGCAGATGCTAATTTGATTGTATTACTTTTGGCTAAAAATAATACAAATTAGGAAAATATATGATTTTACTTTTAACGCAACCAAAGTTTCCTGGAAAATAAATTCCCTATGTTCATAGTCAAAGAATGAACACTATGACAAGGAGAGGATGCAGGTAACAACCATCACTAGGAATTCTTGTTTGGAACGAAGGTTACCTTCATTGATTCAGGAGAAATTAAAATCAAATTGGCATGGGAACAAGACAGGAGACAGGATGGTAAGGCTTCATCACTCCACCACGGAAAGAAATATATCCAGAAAATTTGAACGGAAAAATGAATGAGAGCTACTACTGAAGAATAGAATCCACAAGGTCAGAGAGAGGTGCAAGCTCCCCTTTGTCAATCAACCGGAATTCCTGCATAACATCAGTGTTAATTAGATACAAGGCTAAGGAAAAAAGAAGGGACATCTGAAAACTTGCCAATAACTCACCCAGGTAAACAGAACAAAATGTTTAAAGCATGTATTCAAATGAGCTTCTTCCTTCAAACTCACAATCTTCTGGAAATGTGAGTGGTAGATGTGAGCGTAGACTCGGAACAATCTTTTAAAAATGGTTTTCACAACATCTCGAAAATTTTGTGGAAAAGGCGCTCCTGTAGTCCATAAAAGGTTAAAAAAACCAAGGAGTACTTCGATCTAGATGAAAATCTTGGTTTGGCATGAAATCTCACCAACCTAATTTTTGTGGGAAAATTGATTCATCATCTAGTTGAGTCTCAATCCAGTCCATCAAGTACTCAACGTACTTTGGAGCAGATACCTCTATTGGCTTCTTGATTGTAACTCCATCAGCCCATCTATATTCATACCTGTAACAAGTAACAGCACCATAAATAGATAGGGGAGGAATCAAGGATACTTCAGGATATAAAGGGTAACAATGAACTTGCTCTTTAAGTAAGAACCAGAAATTTTAATTACACCACAACACAAATTATTGAACCAAAGTCACCAAATCACATGGAATGTAGCTTGTAGAGGAGCAGAATAATTGTCAAAAGGCAAATAAGATTGAAAAAATGCCTTTGAGGGGGCTCAAATATGCGCATCGTGAGAAATGAATTAACATTCTGCTTTCAGATTACAAAGAGAATTCCAGGCAAGGGGTTAAGAATCATACTTTGGTCCTGCTGACATTGTTGGACATTTGTTTGGGGTGCAGAACTCAGTTAGAGTACCATACAAAATGTTCACTTGGTTGAAGAAGTCTACCGCTGTTTAAAAAGAAATAACATGATTAGAAATCAATTTGATAACTCTTCATCCTGGCTTTGCAAGCTGGAAGCATGTAAAAAATCAAGGCAACCCCAAGGAAAGTATTCTTACTGTTTACTGCCAGCCACTCATTTAGATCTTCTCCAGGAGGTAGCTTCACAGCTTCTCTCAAGTGCCCACTACCTAAGGTTGCATCTATATGTTTTTGAAGTTGAGCACCCTGTATTCACATGAAAACAACAGTTCCATCAACCTAAAATGGTATCACAAAACATAAAACCATGAAACAAACAAACCAAATGACTAGAAGAAAGCAAGCACACAAACCTTACTTCCTGATGGAGCATTCTTCTTGGGACGAAAGGTCTTCTGGTTTCTGATAAAATTAAACCCAAAAGTGCATGAAGAAAAATCCCATTATAATCTAGGAAAGAAGATTGTGGTATCCATAACATCAATTTCCGAGGATATACGTAGGGTAATGATATGCAAACAATCATTTTGTACAACTTTTTTATAAAACTTTTAATATTAAATAAATAAATATATATAATATCATAAATTTTAATTAAAAAAAAAATCAATCATCTTACATGAAGGAGTTGTTGAAAAAAGAGTTATCTCTCAATTATTTTCTATACATTTTCCATATATGTATTAAACAGCATTCCATTTATGGAAATTGCCAAACTTAGCAATAAATGCTGATACAAATAGGCAACCCGTTTCTCCCTCTCAAATTCACAAAATCTACCAAGAAGGAAGCCAATTGCATTAAAATAAACAAATAAATAAATGAATCCAGTAACGGGAAAAAATCTGAGATCAGCTACAGAAATGACACAAAGGAATAAGAAGAAAAGGGAAAGGAAGTTGGATATACCTGCTACTGAGGCCGAAGAGACTCATGGAGTTGAAGCCTAGGTTCCTGTGTGTGTCTCTCTCTCACTCCAGGGAACTCAATGCAGCAACAGAGGCTAGGGAAGAGAGAC